GCCGGTGGCACGACCCACATGCAGACAGGTCCTCGGCCCGCACCACCAGCACCACCAGTTCAACTTCAGGCCCGTGCGCCCCTAGGCCAAGGCGATGCAACGCAGTACACTCAGCCTCGATATGCGCAGCTACTTCCCAGCACCTTTCAATCTGATGACATCTTCCTCGACAAAACGGAAGTCCGCGGCCTGCAACTATACCGTCACATTCAACCCACTCAGTGGTCTCGAAGGGTCGGGCTCGCAGGAACAGCAATCTTAGATCTTCCGTTGACACGTCTTCTTCGGGGAGGAGCAGAAGATCACGCACTCCGAGCGGTATCGAAAGGGGGGATAAAGGACACCGGTAATGGCTCAGACAATAGCCGAGGCGGTGTTATTGACATCAATCCTCAAAGCCTTGCGAGGCAGGGAGGTCGACATCGACCGGACAGCCCGCTCCCTTCACGCGGACAATGCGCCGGACAAGCGCAACGAGGCTATGCAGTTCATGGGGCCACTCGCGCTCAAAATCGTGGATCTCATAGAGTCACTGCAGCCCGCCAAGCAGGAGAACCTCGCCCGCCACAAAATTGCCGAATTGGAACAACAGCTTGAGCGCTACAAGAACAAAGGCATCACTCTCACACCGGACAAGAAGCAGCCATCTTCGTCTCCTTCCAATACCGCATCCTGGACTCCCACACCTGGCCGCTCTGACCAGTCCCTCTACATCAACACGGCGATGTCGGATACTCAAGGACCTCCCCTACCAGTTCCATCTCCGGAGGCTGATCCAGCTCCCAAAAGACGGCCGGCAAAGCGCAAGACTCCGGAGGCCGCCCCGGACATCACATTAGATCCAGAACTTCTACGTCAGGGCAATCCCAAGGGCCAGCAGGTTCCACTCCCCGCCAGCCTCACGGACAAAGTCTTCAAAGCGTGGTTGCATGAACGCACGCTGTCCAACCAAGCGACTTACCTCGATCTCGTCAAGCAGGAGCTAGCATCGGACACGATGGAGCAGCTGAAAACTATTGCAGTCAAGTGGGGCGCCACTATCTCCTTGGTGAGCAAGGGATCGAAGCGAGCACTCCTACAGTTCATTACGGTGCTGTACATGTATCGTAAGTGAGAGGCGAGATGCTAGCGCTCACGATGAAGGACGTTAGCACGCTATGAATCGGCTGGCACAAAAGGCCCTGCTGCTCGGTGTGCCCGGAACTTGCCCTGAGACCTTCCGTTGGTGTTTTTATTTTTTCTTTTTCTTTTTCCTTTTCTTTTTCTTTTTTCTTTTTCTTGTTCTTGTTCTTTTTCTTTTTCTTTTTCTTTCTCTCTCCTTTTTTCTCTCTTTCTCGTTCCGGATTCTGGGGTTTGCGAGCCAGTGTAGTTCTAAGTTGATCCACCTAACAGTTCGGTGCTCGAGCATGTGACACATGGCTAAGCCATGCCGGTCATTCAATCCCCGGAGACTGTGTTTCTTCTGCAGCTCTTCGGCAAGTATGGACGATCAGAACTATGCGGCGCTGCCAGACACTATGGTATCC